TAACATTTCTAGTAATGACTTTATCGTGGACACTATATATGTGGGCCAATGTCGCCCAAACAACACAAGAAAGATTGAAAGAACAAGGAGATAAATTACGCCCATGCCCGAAGCGGGATTCGAACCTTTGATCTTCCTGGTGCTGGGCCATCCTCCTGGTACTACACCACGTACCAGGTACTACGCCCCCTGGTCCTGGTACTACGCCTGGTCCCCCCCTGGCCTGGTACTACGCCCCCTGGTTAGCCTTATCGTCACTTTATTTTCAATCGTCTAATCTTCATTTCAGTTTCGTCATTCTAGTTAATCTCCCTCAATATTCTGAAATGAGGTTTCGACATTCAGGAACCATTTTCGTCATACATTAGAGAGTTCGCGTTTCGGTACAAATCGCGTGATTTCCGGACGAGATGGTTCCCAAAATTGACGAAATACAGCTCAAAGATTGCTGAATCGTCAAATGTGAGAGCTTTGTTTTTGAGAGTGTACAATACATAAATTTACATGCCGACGTTCAATGTGGCAAACACCAACAACTGCACAATTACGAATAATAATAATATTTTTTTCCAAATTAAAAAAAACAAACAAAAACATTTATACATTTCAAATAACATCACGATTTTAAGAGTTGATAAAGCATTGTTCATTTCAGTCTGTTTCTAAACCATTTACTAGTAAATGCTAATGGTTAAACTTGGACAAACTAATACCAGCATATCCCACCAACACCAAGTTAATGAACAAATCATTAGAATAATGAAGCGATTAAAGACGTCAGGTTGAAAATTACGTGATCAACATTTTACTATCAGAGGTTTTATTCGGACCTCACAGAAAACACTTTGCTTTCTGGGAAGCCATAATGGATAATTTAAATTCTGCGAATGGCATCGCTAATTAACGAGGAACAGTTAGAGACGAGTGGTAAGTGAATATTTTTATGGAGAAGCCGTACTCGGGGATATTTATGAAATCCAATCACATTTATCTTTTGTGTCTGATGTATTGTCTGAAAGGAGTATTTTTACTGAAGTGTGGCTTATTTTTTTTAAATAGTTTATTCATGTATATGAACAGATATTATCACCTTTATGGCACTTTTAATTATTCTATCAGGTGCTAACGATTTGGTAATTGAATTTAATTAAATTTAATGATGTTTTTTTAGCTTATATTGAAGCTACTTGTTTCAAAAACGTTAATCAATACTGCCCTGAGAAACAAAATAATAGTCAATAAACTACCAGATTATTGTAAAATTTACCATATTTCTAGCTCTATAGGAACAATTTTTTTTTTTACCAAAGTGCTTTATTCTCTAAGTTTTGCTTTTTATACGAAATACGTTACGTTAATTGCGATTTTTGCTTTATATTTTATAGCTTTCATTACAAAGAAAATAGAATAACTTTGATTTCTAAATTAAATTTAAGTTTAATATTTTTTTTTAGTTTATTAAACGTATTTACAAAATAATTGTTTTGCAAGTATCTTATACTTGTTTAAAAAAATGAAAGAATATTTTAGACTCTTTAAAACGTTAAGGGTTTGAAAAATGTCTTTTCTGCAAATATATTATATTTAACTCTAAAAATGATATAATATCTTGGAGTATTCATTATATTAAAAAAGAACAGCTTTTTAAAACATTAACATTTAAAGGCTTTTCTTTTGAGAATACATGTCATTAATTAAATGAAAGATAGAATGCTATGGATTCCTCAAAACATTTAAAGATAGCTTATATAAAAATCAATCAAATTTCTGACAGAGAAATTTTTCGCAAACATTTTATGTCCTTGAACTTTTAAAGCAATAGATTAATTTTAATATGTCAGAACTCTGAAAATTAAATAATTTTTTAAATAACTTTAAAAAAAATAACTTTTGTTTCATTCAAAAATTTAGTTTTCATTTAATCATGATATAAAGCAATTTGTGGTCATAAGATATGTAAAGTTAAATAACTTTATAACAAATTAAATTTTTATAAAACATGTATGTAGTTTCACTTACATCAAACGTGAGAAACTAATTAATTCAGAATATTGAAACTAAAATAATTTATTAGTCTTTTAAAATCCAAAAAAGTTATTTTTAATGTATCACAGAGTTTTGACTGTCTACATTAAAAATTTTAAAACTCTAATCTCTATATACTATATACTCTATCTCGGACTTGCGCTATAATCAGTTTTAAAAACTTAAATTAGCCAAAAATTATTATATTCTTTGTTTTTTAGTTCTCCAAAAAGTAACTCGAAGTACTGGTTTATCTAAAATTAAAAAGAAATATTTACTAGAATTTGTCATTATAATACAATTAATTTCCAGATGCAGCCAAAACTTAGAAAAATAAACATTAACGATGTTCAGATACTGATACTAAAAAGAAGAACAGAATCTAATTAGAAAAGGAGATGATTGCGATAAAAACTACTCAAATCTTTTTCTAAAATATTTTTAAGAGTTACAGATTAGAATAGGTTAAAACTAAAATTAATTAATTATCAAATTAAGTTTGAATTCGTATTTTGAATTTGAAGATATAAGTTCATTCAGGTATAAACCTGTTATATGCCTATCGTAAGAGTGCACTGACAGAATACTATAGGGAAATCTGAAATTAATTAATTAGTAATAATAAATTCATTGAGTAATTTAATAAAATGTACATATTTGAATTAATTTCATAAATTAATTGAACATAATACAGTTATCTAAAAAACATAAAAGTAAATTATAAAAATGTTATCAAGATTTTTATAACCCATATATCATTTTTCAATTCGATTTTGTTTTTGTTTTTTATTATCAGTATTGAAATAGTTTATAATATTTCAATATTTAATCCAACTACTCATTTATATTTAATTAATTCATTAACGATATGAAATTCAGTTTGCAATTCAATAAAATTTATTTACTCAACTGGCTATGGTTAATTAATAAATTACATACAACGATACAAAAAATAACTTTAATACTAAATAGAAAAAAATAATAAATAATATACATTAAGCTTGAAATTGTAAATTTATTATATTATGAATAAATTAATAAATCCCAATCTTCCAATAGTAAAAGTTTAATGGCTGATTCAAAATTAAATAATTTTTAATGTCTAATTCAATGTTCAATAGTGAATTTGATTTCATAAATTCATTAATTAAACCAATCACTGCACATTATAAAAAAGATTATTATAAAAGCATATTATAAAAAAGATTAGCACAATTTTTATCGTCATTATGTGTTTTTTTATTTAGATTTTTTTATTGCTATAAGTAGTGAAATAATGCCTAAATATTTCCATTTTTATTAGTCTAATTAATAGTTTATATCTAATTAATTAATTAACAAGTTCTCTACCACTTGTAAAAGTATATTATAAAAATATTTGTATAATTTTTATCGTCACAATTTCAACTAGATCTTGTTTGTTTTCTTATCCGTAGTAAAATAACATTTAATTAATTAACTAACAATTCAGTGAAAAATTTAATAATATTTATATGTCTAATTGAATATTATAAATTAATGAATTAGACACAGCAAAGAATTATAATGCTAAACAGAAGAAATAATAAAATACATGCACTGAACTCGACATTGTAAATTTATTAATTATACATAAATTAATAAGTCCCAATCTACCGATCGTAAGAGTGCAATGGCAGATAATTATAGGTAATTCTAAAATTTATCAATTTTCAATATCAAATTCAATGTGTTATTTAATAAAATGTACATATTAAATTTGGTATCGTAAATTCATTAATTAAACCTAACTAATTATCTATCGTAATTATTTCGATTTTCAGTTAGTTTCAACTATCAACAGTTACTATCAATAGCTTTTTTAACTGTTATTAGTAGTAAATCCAGTCTTAATATTACTAGGTTTATTAACTAAGTTATATCTAATTAATTAATTAACAAGCTCTGCAGTTGTAAGAGTATATTATAAAAATATTTGCACAATTTCTATCGTCACAATTTTAACTAGATCTTGTTTAATTTTTTATCAGTAGTAAAATAGCATGTAATTTATTAACTAAATTATATCTAATTAATGAATTAACAAGTTCTGCAGTTGTAAATGTATATTAAAAAAATATTTGCATAATTTCTATCGTCACTATTTTAACTCGATCTTGTATAATTTTCAATCAGTAGTGAAATGGTATGCAATTAATTAAAAATACCGAATTCAGTGTGTAATTTTATAAAATTTAAAACTTGATATTGTCAATTAATGAATAAGATGACACCAATAATTAGAAAACTAAACGGAAAAAGTAATCTCACACTATTTCATAAACTGATAATAAAAAAGAACAAAATCTANACTGTTATTAGTAGTAAATCAAGTCTTAATATTACAAGGTTTATTAACTAAGTTATATCTAATTAATTAATTAACAAGCTCTGCAGTTGTAAGAGTATATTATAAAAATATTTGCACAATTTCTATCGTCACAATTTTAACTAGATCATGTTTAATTTTTTATCAGTAGTAAAATAGCATGTAATTTATTAACTAAATTATATCTAATTAATGAATTAACAAGTTCTGCAGTTGTAAATGTATATTAAAAAAATATTTGCATAATTTCTATCGTCACTATTTTAACTCGATCTTGTATAATTTTCAATCAGTAGTGAAATGGTATGCAATTAATTAAAAATACCGAATTCAGTGTGTAATTTTATAAAATTTAAAACTTGATATTGTCAATTAATGAATAAGATGACACCAATAATTAGAAAACTAAACGGAAAAAGTAATCTCACACTATTTCATAAACTGATAATAAAAAAGAACAAAATCTAATTGAAAAAGTACATAATGGCGATAAAAACTGCCCAAATCTTTTTATAATATACTTTTAGGAGTGGCGAACAACAGCAAATCATAATTTAGGCTTAGTCGCTCATTTTAATAACACATAAGATAAGGGCGGACTTGCTAAGCAGGGAAGCTTGTTGCGACATAAAAGTCATAAAGATAACTTTTGAATTAGAAGTGCGCATATTTTATGGCAGTTTTCTGGGAGGAAATGCACAATCAAAGCTTATGCGCATACCACGCAATATTTCTGGCGTGGGGGGTGCATTGAAAGCTGATGAATCCTGCCAAACTTTCCACGATATCAGTTTAGGTGATGTTATTTAAGATTCATAAATTGTAATAAATATAAGACACGCAATCCTGATCGATGCCTCGTGTAGTTTCAAAGTTTCTTAGCAGCAATTACCGATGGTAATAATCTTTGTCCAAGGAGTGAGATTTACACAATTTACGATGTCACGTGAGTGTAGGAGAAGGTTAGTTTTATTTATTTATTTTATTTTTTTTCATTAGTGAGGAAATTTGTGTGGTGAGCATTTGTAATTAAGTATAACAGATTACCGCTTAAATTGTTTCTTTGTTGAGTGAATGTAAGAATGCTTTTGTGTACATAAAATGGCCAATTATATTTGCTATTATCTTGTAATGAACACTGCAAAAAATTCCGGATCAAATTCTGGTAAAAAATACCGATACTCAGGTAGCTTTTTACCGCAAAAATCCATCTTTACCGGAACATGTTATAGACAAAATATCTGATGCACCGCAATTTTAAAATTACGGTATAATATTTGACGGTAAAAATAAATTTTAAGCTAAAATGGAAGTTATGGATGATGCACCTAAAGTGCCGGAACTTTAAACCGTATTTTTTTTACAGTGTAAGTAAATTATATTAAGCGAAAAAAAAATAATAAAATTAAATAAAATAGCGTTAATAGAGATATAAAAGCTTACGTTTTATTCAAAATGTTTTGTCTTATTTCCACATGGCACAAAATACACCCAATTCTCTTGTGTGAATTGTTATAAAATTTCCGCGAAGTTTAATTTATTCATAGAGTTTATTGTGTTAGACATTCTCAACTTATTAGAGATAACAATACAATTTCCCCGCACAGAATTTATGGTACAGTAATTATCAATGGCGTAAAACATACATTAAGAAATACCAAGTGATAAATTGTATAATTGGATTGCTAATACAAGATATCCTAAGATTACTGGTTAGAATTTAATTCTCGTCTATGCAGTTAGTTATCGTTAAAGGTTTGCCATTTTTTTTTGGATTACATTGCATTCTGTAGCCATGTTTACAGCTATTAAAGAAAGTTATGGTTTTGAATACTGTATGAGACGCACTTGCTACGTGTGTTGGTCTTTTATTGTTGATATAGAACTCGATATGAAGTTTTAAATACTAAACTATTGTTTAAAAACATGTTATGGTTACCTAAATGCGTAGAACAATTTTTTTTCCTACAAGGTTGATGAGATGTTTTGCACAAAAATGTTATACTTAGTTGCGCGCATAAAAAAATGTATGTTATCATATGGATTTTCATGAACTAGATAATTTTCTGATGTATAGAAAAACATGTCACGGTCAGCTGTATGTACAGAATAGCTTTTGTTCTATCAGATGGGTTTTATGGTATGCATAAGAAAACATGTTATTGTCAACTGCATGCGTATGTACAGAATTATTTCCTATCAGATCGATGAAATGTTATGCATCAAAATGTTATTCTTAGATGTTCAGTGCGAAAAATAAAGAAACGGACCAACCTAAATAACTTTTGATCTAATGATCGGATCTTCACTCTCAAGAACTAAATTTTAAAGGTTCGAAAGGGTGACCTCAATTATGCTAATTAATTAGAGCAGACGATATTTTGAATTATGAAATCAGGCCCCAAAACATACTTTCTCTGAATAAAAATACAATTTTTTTCCGACGGATTGGGATTTTTGACTCTTAAAATACCGTTGTCGTAGTCTGAGAAATATGGTCCCTATAGTTCAGTGAGGACAACGGTCCAAGCCTTAGACTCCTGAATGCTAATTTTATTTTTTGCGTATATCTCTATATCTCGAGAACTTTTTGAGTGAATAGAAAATTTTTTGCACACAATTTTAAAATTCGTTTATCCAGATGCAATTCTATGCAAAAAATAGTTTTTAATAAATATTTAGTATTTTTTATTATTTTATTTAATAATTGTCAAAGAAATTTTGAATTGTAAGGGATAAAAAGTTTTTGACATAATTTTAATGAATGCAATTTTACATGAGAAGAGACAAAATTTGAGCAAATCGGTCGAATAGTTCCCGAGAAATCGAATTTAACAAATACAACTTACATGAAAATCGATCTCTTAGGAATTATTCGATCGATTTTTCTCAAACTTTGCATTTTGCCAAAAGAAATTACATTCTTAAAAATGTGATAAAAAATTTTTTACTTTCGAGATAGGGGGAAATACGCACAAAGTAAAATTAGCATTAAGGGTTTTCAAACTTTGGACCACTCTACTAATTAAACTGTCGAGATCATATTTCCCTGATTGCGGCGACCCCCAACATCTTGGGTTCAGAAATCTGAATCCGACGCAAAAAATGGTATGTTTATTCAGAGAAAGTACGTCTTTGTGTCTGATTTCGTAACTTAAATTATCGTCTGAGCTTATTAATTAGCATATTTGAGGTCGACTCTTCGAACTATTAAGATTGAGTCTTAGAACGTAAAGATCCGATCATTAGATCAAAAGTAATTCAGGATGGTGCGTTTTTAATTTTGCTCACTAAAGAAACGTGTTATGATTAACTTCATACATGGAAAAGAATTCTTTTTTTCTACCAGGGTGATGAAATGATGTACATAACCGCTCTTAATAAATATATTCAGAATTTCAGTCAAAAAGAGTGTAGAAGGTTATAACCACTTAATGATCGGTTAATTTTCAAGAAAACGGTCATAAAAGTGCCAATTTTTTTATCAATGAGGATTATATAAATATATGTGTATGAACAATATATATCTATTCATTTTTAATTTTTGATTTCTTTTTAACTTGAAATTTTAAAAAAAATTATAAATGTTGTTGACTTAATGTTGGTTTTCCAGCAAGCAAGGAAAATTTAAAAAATATGTGCTTCAAACATTAAAAAAGAATTTTATTAAACTTACGTATAATATAAATAAACATTAGTAATTTTTTTCTTGTGTGATAAATTTCAAAGCATGAGATACAGAGGCCAACGTCACAATCTGGACAGTAGTACTAAGTTTCCTTCCTATATCTTTTATTGTTTTCATTTCTTCTGATTATACCCTTAAAAATATCCTGGTACTGCCATCTGGTTTGTAAAATGAGTAATAAAATGTTTTCCGGTCAGAAGAAATGAATTAGTTTTATTCTCATTGGCGCGTTACTACTGAACACTCCAGCCCGGAAATATCACGGAAGCGAGAAATAGAGGGCGAAACCTCACCCGTCATTTTCACGTCAGCGAGAAGAAAGGGGATAAATTGTTCATTACGCCAAAGAAAAAACAAGTGCAGTGTCAAAATCTGACGAAAAACACGTGGAGAAAGATGAGCAGATACCATCAATACCAGTTTGATTGTTTCTAAAAATGGTCTTTCATCTCCTATTTTCTCCGGTAAAAACGCTTATTTTAAAGTTTACTATTTCCTCTTTCTATATAGTAGTTCTCCAGATTTCGATATTGCTTTTGTTTTTAGGTGTTAATTACCCCTAAGAACTTATTTTACCGTATTTTTAGCAAGAATTTAAAAAAAAATATATACTAAGGGTAGTCATTTTGGAACACCCTATATACACAGTATCAGGACTATGTTGTTTATTACGACCAACATAATAAAGCTTATTCATCTTTACTCCTTTTCTTTGTTACTTCAAAAGCGTGAAATATCACGACCAGTCAAAATAAAAAAAGAAACAAAACACCACAATTGAAAAAAAAAAAAAAAATGGCGCAATGTCACAAAAAAGTATGTAACATATTAAATTCGAAACAAGGCGTTAAGACCTTACAAGAAAAGTCATAGTTTTTGCTGGTACTTTGCAGAGGCAGATCACGTACTATAGCGTGATAGTAGGGAACTGGCAGTATTTACTTTTTACGAGGGTAGCCGCACCCGTGGATTTAATCCGTCAGAATCCAACGGTTGACCAAAAGATAAACCTTGGCTATATGCCTTGGTTTCGGCATTTGCGATTCTGCGGAACATGTCGGTACGTGCCCGCACAACATAAAAAGCTCTATCGAATGTCATATTCATCTCTGATGGTTGGGTCGTTTTAATCAGGATATTTCATTTCATATCTTTTGAGGAGAAAAAGCGATGAGATAAATAGCGAGAGAACGACAAATTTGACGATGTGGCATTATGGTGTAGTGTCTTTTTTTCCCGCTTCGGTGATTTGGTGACACTGGTAACAGTATTAAGAGTTAACTCTGAAACTTTTGAGATTCTGTTTAATATAATATGTTGCTTTACTCTTTATTTAACTTGGATGCTTTTATTTCCCAGTGATATGTGTAGTCACATATAGCTTGTTAAAAAGCATGTGCAATATTTTTAAAATATTATATGCAATATATATATATATATATATATATATATATAGCATATTCTTTATATTTTATTTCCTGTTTCTACGTGATATTTATACTTATTGTGTTCTATTTTATTTGCTGTAATTTTTTGCAAAATTTTTTGAGTGCTTCTCACACTATTGTATTGATATATTTTGCTTTGGCTATATTGATGCAATATTAGAAAACACTATTTTTTGCGGATATAATCGTGTGAGCTGATGAAAAGATTATATCTTTTATTTTCCGGATTTTTTAAAATTTTGGTCTTTCTTTTCNCCAACTGGTCCTGCAATTCCCTCACATTGCGAGGGGGTAGCGTGGCAGCACGAATTTGGTTTTCCAAGTAGGACCACAAATGCTCTATTCGATTAAGGTCAGGTGAATTTGGGGGCTTCAAAGTCACTGAATGACTTCACTGCAAGACTTCAAAGTCACTGAAATGTTCCTCGACGATTTGACCCTTATGACATGGTGCATTATCCTGTTGGTAAACACCATTCCCCGCAGGAAAAACTGTTGCCATGAATGGGTGAACCTGGTCTGCAACTATGTTTCAGTAGCTTACAGACGTCAGGGATTGTCCTATGAGGATTATGTGGCCCATAAAAACATTGTTCCTGGGCGAGAAACCATGAAAACCTGGGCGAGCCCATTGTTATAGATGGAAGGTGGTCATAATGTAATGGCTCTTCGGTGTATATAATATATTGTATGTACATTATATAGTATTTATAATATTTTATTTTATAATAGGCGTTGAGCAGCAGATTTAATTCTGAGTTGATGGCTACTGATGTTCAGCTTTGTAGTTCTTTCGTTTAAACCTAACCTAGATAACAAGGGAACTCCAGGATTAAGCACGGGACCAACCCACCTTTCAGATGAAACTAACCCACATTTTTAATACATGAAGTGTAAGGTCTCCCGGTTAGTCTGATGGCAAGAGAATTCTAACTCATGATCTGTCTACCACTGAAGATATTTTACGTCAGCACTGTGGTCGGTGCGATCCGGGAGCAGAATTCGTATTAACCAGCGACTACTGGGAATCGAACCTACACCTCATTGAGAGGTGAACGCTCTCTACCTTAAGCCACCATGGCTTAGTATGCATAATATATAGCCTATGTAATATTTTGATAATTATTATTTTATTATAAGTCGACGGTATTTGTGATTCTATGGAACATGTTCGTAAGTGCCACACAAGATAAATAATATTATCGAATGTTTTAATCATCTCTGATGGTTGCGTTGTTTTAGTCAGGATAATCTACTTCTTGAAGCGAAAAAAAAATGATACACAAACACGGTAAAGAAAGTTTGGAAATGGTCAAATGCCTCGAAAAGTTTATATGGGACCGAAAAAATGAAAATAGACTTCATTCAATGTTGTTTAAAAGCTATTTAATGATACAAAACAAGATTTTCCACTCCGCCTGAAAAAAGGATGAGGGCAATTTTGAAATCTTAAATATGAACCCCTAATTTTCATTGCAGATTCAGCTTCTTTAGGAAAAAATAACCCGATTCGACTCATAAATTTATGCATTTTGTTTCACTGATGGTGGCGGTAACAAACAAAAATTAAAAGAGGGTTCACAAACTGTTTAAAATGGCGATTTCTCGAGACCTATCAGATTTTTTCAAAAATAAAAAAAAATAAAAATATTTTAGCATTTTATTTTCGAAAAACAATTTTAAAAAATCCATAAAAAATTTAAATGGATCTCGAGATATCTCCATTTTAAGACTCGCCAGATTAGGAACATAAAAATAGTCATGTTTAATTTTCTATTAATTTTTTAAAAAAAATTTTGAAAACAAAATACTAAAATATTTCTATTTTTTTTTATAATCTGATAGGTCTTGAGATATTACTAATTTAAACAGCTTGTACTCTATCTTAATTTTTGTTGGTTACCACCAATTGGCAAAGCAAAGTTTTATAAAACTAAAATTCCAATTAGGTTATTTTTCTGGAGAATCCGAATCTTCAATTTAAAAAAAAGGGTTTCATATTTAAGATTTCAAAGTTACCTCCCATTTCGATTCCAGGAGATTGGGGTGGGAAATCGAGTCCATTAAGATTAAATCACTTTTAAAAATTTCGAATGCGAGTAGAAGTGGGAGTAATCAGACTTTATTGTAGCACCTGCCTTTGCCCCTAAAAATGTTTATCATATTTCTTTTGATTGAAAATTAACAAATTAAATTATTTAAACAAATTAATAAATAACAAAAAAAATATTAACCAAATGGAAAAAAAGAATAGTACATGCTTGGTAAGATCAGTGTAATTTTAGAAGAGAAATGTAATTTTTCTTTTAAAATCAGAGATTTTATCTCTTAAAAAAACAAAAACAAACTCCTCTTTTATTTATTTATTTTTTTGTAATTAATTTTTATTTTTCAGAAAAGGAGATTTCGCAATTTTGTATAAGAGAGAATAGTTTTCAGCCTTCATTGCAGCATCAACCCTTTGCCCCTAAATTTGTTTATCATATTTCTTTTGATTGCAAATTAACAAAACAAATTAAATAAAAAAAATAACATGTAAAAAACTTGAGTGCGGTCGCACATATTTTCTTAATTGCTTTATTAGGCGAAAATTGAAGAAAAAAATAGAACATGCTTCTTAAGATCAAGGTAATTTTGGAAGAAAAAATAAATTTTTTTTTATAAAAAAAACTAGGACTTTATTTCATAACAAAAGCATACTAATATACTTTCGAAAGTATTTAAAACAATTTTGTTCCTTTTTTTCTTTTACTTATAATTCTTTTTCTATTTTTTTTCCACTTGCGTACAAATAAGGATCCACAGAATGTCGATGAACCAGCACTCGCAACCTCATCTATATTTTAATGAGGAAAAATCCTTAAGAAGTGAAGCTTATCTTATTTTGTTAGTGATAATCTCTTTCATTTAAGAAATGAAAGACGTTGGAAAAAATTGATCATAATACGGCCACTTTTTTCTCCAACTTTCAGAGTTTTTTTTTTCTCTATGCGTTTTTCTTATCAAATTTATTTTCTTAATCATCGGAGAAATAAACAGACTGTTCATAGCAGAAACTTTCACCGTTTATAAAACTTTTACCTTCAAACGAAAGAAAAAAATAATTTAGCGGAAATTACCGAGCCGAGATTATTTCTGCGCTTCCTAATTATCGCAAATTCTGATTGCATTCTGAGGATTTTCATTAGAAGTTTTTTTCCCCCACCTTTTTAAGCGGCAAATTCTATTGCTATCATTTGCTCATAGCAAAAAGGTCGTATTTCTTTTTAATAACTTAATTTAAATTTACTTTTCTTTCTTTTAAGTGCAAGGCGCAAATAATTCAGATGAAAATAAAACATAAAGATACTTAATTGTCAAAACTTTTTGTTTGAATTTATTCTTTGCACTTTTTCACATATATATTAAAACAAAATGATAACCCAAACTTATATATATTTCTCATATTAGAATTTTTATAAGGATCTTTTTCACCGTTTTAAGTGACAAATTTTATTGCTATCATTTGTTCATAGCAAAAAGATCGTATTTCTTTTTTGTTTAACTTAATTTAAAAAAAATTATGTTTGTTTTAAGTGTAAGACGTAAATAATTGAGATGAAAATTAAGTAAAAAGCTGCTTAATTGTCAAAACTTCTTGCTTGAATTTATTCTTTGCACTTTTTCACATATATTAAAACAAAATGATAACCAAAACTATAATCTCTCTATATATTTCTTATATGTGGCGTTATTAGAGTTTTTGTTAGGATCTTTTACACCTTTTTAATCGGCAAATTTTATTGCTTTCATTTCCTCATAGCTAAAAGATCATATTACTTTTTAGTAACTTAATTTAAATTTACTTTCATTAGTTTCAAGTGCAAGGTATAAACAATAGAGATAAAAATAAAACATAGAGCTACTTAACTGTCAAATTTTTTTGTTTGAAATTATTCTGTGCATTTTTTCACATATATTAAAACAAAATGACAAAAAATGAGCAATTATTATTTATATGCATATTTCTCATATATACGTCATACTCATATATATGTGGCATCATAAACTCGGATATTTATCTATATATTGGCAACACTATAGTTATTATTAATTTTGTTAAGTTATCTTAAGTAATAATTTAAGTAGCGATGAATTACGTTAATTGTTACGTTAATTAATTAATTGCACGTTTAGCATTTATTTAGAACATTTTGTATTTTTATCAAAGTAAAAACTTAGTTACGAAGTAATTATTTAGATTTATTCTTGATCTTTTCTAAATTGACTGTAGAAATTTTAAATATAATCGCTGCTATGGTGGCGTATACTGTCATATATAATTATTAGTTGATGAACTGTGTAAATTTGCTGTACTTTTAATAGTGGGCTCCATTAAACCTTGATTTCAATTAAATTGAACTGTAACGTAATTCAATTACATTTTTTCCACCAGACTAGTTTTTTTCTTTTCTAATCAAAAGTTCTAATCTCTTTCATACATCAAATAGGCTAAAATTGAAAATATTCTGCCAAGAGAAAATAAAAATAATTGATTATTTATGCAAAAAAATTTTTTTTTGGCTTGAGCATAGATATATATCCCACCAGGTTTTTGGACCGGACAAATATGTTCAGGACAGTGGTGTTTTCGTTTGCGGGGCATATACGTCTTGGTGGGGCCGAAGGGATAAGAAGCCCAATAATATGCTTCAAAGTTAGGTCTACGCAAGTAAGAAGAATATTATTAAGAAGAAATATACTATTAAGAAGAATATTATTATTATTAAGAAGAATAGTTCAGTGCGTTCTAAACTTTCTAACACTATTTTTCCTGTCTCATTCATTTGTGCAAAGTTACTCATTTACTTTATTCCATCTAAATTATCTATTTCCCAATATTAGAGGGACCGGAAAGTAATGTCGTTTTGATGCATTAAATATTCGTTAGTCTTAAAAACCAATTAATTTTTTTCGATCCATTTCGATTCATTTTCGACCCGGCATTGAAAAGTAGTTGCTAACGAGGGTGAATACATTATTGACTAAAAATGAAATCTTGATAACAAACATCAAATGCACCGAAACGACATTACTTTCCGGTCTCCCTAATTCATTTTTCATTAGAATAGAGGAAATATTCACTTAATTGTACCTCATTTGTATAATTCTCAATACATTATAAGAAGAATAGAGAAAGCAATCTTAAAAGAAATTATGACATTCGCTGGAATTAATCCCATTTTCTTGAAAACTTCTTTATTTCTAAATTAATAAAGTTCATATTAAGTTATCTTCAAATTAATTAGCAGGATTGCGAAAGTCAACTCGTTTTAATCGTATTCTCTGCTAGTTAATTAAGTTAGGTCCGCTAAATTAAATTTAGTTAATCAAGGTCCCTCATAACTCGGCTTTTGCGAAAATTCCACCTTCAAGATTATTTGATGAACCCTCAGACTAAGAATTCTAAAGGAAATGTTATTATTGTTCATTTCGTTGAGTTCGTTTAATGTAGAATGATGAACGTTAACTCACTGAACTCATTTAATAACATTTTTAATTACTTAAGCGCACTCTTTGTATTGAATGGGTATTTAATATTTTTAAATTTTGGAAAATTTAAAAAAGTAAGGTTGTTTCTTTTCTTTAATTGGTTTTTTATGTGCTATTACTGCACTAAAACATGCAAAATCTGTTGAATTAAGAAATACATTTCTATTTCAAATTAGTACAGGAACATTTTATTCTTAAGAGAACATTTAATATTGATTAACTCTATTACTCCATATTATTTTATTAGGTCAGAAAAAAAAAACACCGACAAATATTAGGTTGTTTGGATGCTGATTTTCAGTAGGTTGTTTCATTGAACAGTTTTGATTACATCAGAAGGAATAAAAGCAAATATAATGCGAATATATTCTAAGGGTTTTCTAAAGTAAAATAATACTTTAATGCCATGCATTGTAGAAGGGAGGCTCAAATTAGTCCAAGTCACAATCTGATGTTTTAGATGAAAATAAGTGCAGAATTAAAAAAAATGTTAATGGCCACAGGTTTGGCGTTGTAAGATGAAAAAAAATTTCGATTCTCTGCCTTGCATTAATTCCATACAGTCTTAAGAAACAACTAGAATCTAGAATAATTTTGATTTTTTCCTTTTAATAAACGTTTAGAAAAAAATGGAATCCATGACCATAGGTTTGAAGCTTTTGTTGCAGTAGAATTAATAATAACTTCG